CCAAATTTCACCGCAGCTCTGCTCCCAGCCCCACACTGCTGCTTGGCACAGCCATGGCTTTTCCTGGCGCTTGGGTGGAGGCGGTGTTGTGCCAGGTGGGGCTGGGAGCAGACCTGCAGAGAAATTTGGGGTGACTGCAGCCTCCTCCCAGCACCGCCAGAGCCCGCTCTGAGCCTAGCCCCTGGCAAGAAGAGTCCCACTCAGCTCTAGCTCTATCCCACAGCTGCAGCCTGCCCTGCGCTGTGCAGATCTGGGGAGTACACATCCCACCACCCGCCCTCCAGGGTTCCAAGCAGCGGCGGGAGCTGCCCCCATTCCACGAGCCACACCTCCATCCCACACCCTCCCTGCCCCAGCTGGGCAGCCCCTGCCCCCTCTCTCACTCTGGGGGGCATTGATCTACTCTCCCACACCCCTTCCCTCCTCCCTCACCTTCCACGACATGGGACCTACCACCTACTGGCAGCTGTATTGGATTGGTATCAGCCGATAGGCCTCATTAAATATTGGCTATCAGTATCAGCCCCCAAAATCTCTATTAGTGCACCCCTAGTATGTATAACACCTTCTGTACTGCTAGGTTTCCATCCTACTACTTGAGAGGTTACCACGTGAATAACATTTACTTCTGTCCTGCCAACTCTTTATTTCCGTCAAACAGAGGCCCTTCTCTCTCCTTCCCCTTGGCCTCCCCAGGATTCCTTTAGTGACACAACTCTTCAGGTCACCCTTACTTCCATCAGGCTTCCTGGGTCTTGTCTTGTTAAGTATCCTGACATGCCTTGGCAAACATCACTTTTTAGATTGGCTCATGATCTGCTGTGTGTAGGTTCTTTAACTCTATTCATCAACTGAAGAATCTTGAAAAAGTAAAGTAATTGGTAGATTGGTGACTCTAGTTTATTAACTGGTAAGTTTTTACTTAGTATCTTGAAAATAATTTCCTTGCCTAAACAAATATATTATAAAAACATGGCAGTGTGGCATCTATAAAGGTAAGCAATGTATCTCTAACATATTGCAAAGACTACAAAAAGACAAGTAAAAGGACTCCATTTATTGAAGGGCAGGTGAGCACTCTTGTTTACTCTATCCCATTATATTACAACAAGGGGGCACTCGTCTACATAAGCAGCAAAGTTAAAGTTGATGGAAGAAAATACTTTTTTTAAAAGCTGTTATTGAAGCAAATAGCTTGGTAAGATTAACAAAAAGTATGTGTTTACCAGGATAATATTTGCTGTTATACTGACTTTCAATTCTCATGCCATAGGACATAAGCTAATCACAAGCTGGGGTGATGAGTAATTCACACAGACAGATGGCCACTCCTTTTCTGGATGTGGATCAATGACTGGAAGCTGCAGGAAGGAAAGCAGGTTTAGATTGGATATCAGAAAAAACTTCACTGGTAGAACAGTGAGGCAGTGGAACAGACTGCCTGGGGAAGCTGTGGTATCTTCATTATTGGAGGAGCTCAAGAAGAGACTGAACAGGCATTGGTCAGGGATGATCTAGGAGTAGCTATGCCTATGTTCTACTATGGGCATTTTCCGTGCTTCTTGGATTTGCTGTTTGCCACATGTGGTCAGGAGGGATTTTTTCTTCCTCCTGCTGCTACGTCAGGGTTGTTTGTTTGTTTTAGAGCCTTTTCCAGAAGCATTGGCAATTGGCTGCAACCAAGGCTGGGGAATTTGACTGGGGTGTGCCAGTGCTCCTGCTGGGACTATAATATGAAGGTTCCTGGCTAGAGGGCCTTGGTCTTGCCCTTCCACTCGGGGTCAGACTGATTGCCACATTTGGCACCAGGAAGGAATTTTACCCCATGGCCAGATTGGTACAGACTGTGGGTTTTGCCTTTCTCACGGCTGGATTGGGGCTTGGCTGCCTCCTGTGCATGGTCAGATGGGGCCCTGCCACAATGCCTTGGGTACCAGATTGGGACCATAAATCAGATCCAGCCCATGTGTGGATTATGGGCAAAAAGGCTGGGCAAAACTGGGTTAGACAATGGATTTGTAAAGTATGGTTTGGATAGGGATGATCCCCAGGCAGGGGGTTGGACTAGATGACCTACTTTTCTATGATTCTGTGATTTTTCACATATTCTGAGTTTGGCTGTACAGGGGAATTTGAGGGAAACTCGCATCAGAATCCCTGTAGCCTGGTGATTAGGACAAACACCTGGGGTGTAGCAGACCCAAGTTCAAATCCACTCTGCCTAAATCAAAGCTTAGATTTAAATTACCCATCTCCTGGGTAAGTGTCAGGACTGCTGGTTATTGTTAAAGGAGGAGCAATGGCACTGCCAGTTTTGTAAATCTAGTCCCCAAAACTTTGCTTTCAGCTAAACTGTTTGCAGCTTTGGACTGAT